GCTGAACACACACACAGAGCACAAACACACTGAGCAAGGTGACAGCAAATGACACGGAAGAGTCATTCAATGACCGATACATTATATATCATTTCTGCAGAGAAGATGGGGGGCGTATTCGGCTTTAAACCCAGATGTCAACATTTCCCCTGCAGTCCCCTCACACACACATACAGTGGGAGTGAGGATGACTCATTGAGCTGCTGACATAACTCCTCCCCCTCCATATCCTTGTGAGTGCTCCTAAAACGGCTGATACCACCACGCAGCTGGAAATAGCTCGCCATGGTGCAAAAATAAGCCTCCATCTGGCCAAGGGAGTGAGAGGGGGGAAATGAATGAGGAAAAGAAATTAGGCATGGCACATGAAGTCACGTTTCTCTCAAAGGGATAGCTCACCCAGTCAAAAAGGTGTGATAACGTCGAAACACCACTGGTTCAATATAGTAAACAAATGCCATATTTTTAAAATCTGAATGCAAACAAATTACATAAATTGTGTCTGTACATTCTACAGCTCTATAGTATAACTTCAAATTACATGGAAAATAGCACATGGAATATGTTAAGAACAAAACCGGTGAGTGCCATCCCTCCTTTCAATGCTTGCATTTTTCGAGATTGACTGATTTCGAAAACTCAACTGTCTAACCATTCTGGATACCTAGTATCAGTGCAAATCAGTCATAAGTTCAAATCTAGATCAACCAATCAGAGATGTTGCGGAATCTCAATTGACTGTTTTGATTGGTTAATATCTTGTATCGTGCTCTGCCACCCACGGTAATTATCCCATTTTATTTCGCAAAAAAAGGTCTCTTAAGCCAAGAATATACGACCCTGCCATGCCGTCAATAATAATAAAGCAATTAAGTAGCCACAGGAAAGAAAAAACAGGGGTCCCCAGCATTAAGCGACAAGAGCGAGAGAGAGAAACACTGCGCAGCAGCTGTCAGAGTTCATCTTCGTGTTGGTCAACACATCTGGCCCTAAATTCCCCCAAAGTCCTCACAGCAAGAGAGAGAGAGCGAAAGAGAGAAAACAGTACAGACAAACACACACACACACACACACATCCTCCAGCTGGCCTGAGGTCAGGTTTGTCTCTTTGAGTTGAAGTGTTTGTACGGCGTGGCGCGGGGACAACAGTTTCACGCCCTGCTATGAACTGAAGAGAGAGTGTTTAAAAATCAGGACGAGAACGAGCGTGAGAAACAGATGGCTGGAAAGAAGGTAGAACTGTCACACCGTGACACCAGACATGATGTGATAAAGCAACAAGCAATAGAAGCTCTTTCATGTTAATGCGAGTTTTTGTCCTAAACAAGCGGCAAGCAACAGGACATTTTGTCAGTCGTTTAGTTTCTATTTACGTCGCATTGGCTGGGTGGCCTCGTGTATACTGTATATTACACATCAAATATATTCTGATTGACCATTAGGTGCCTGCACACTAGAGGCCGCATTGATGGAGCATTTGATGGATGAGAATGTGTAAGAGCCGGGGCAACTTTGAAACCAAACAGCAATACTGCAAACTAAAATGTTAAACACGAATGGACCTGGGTTTTTGTTTATAGTTCACAGAGTGCCAGCATTTCGTCTTATTATTAAAAAAAAATAAAATCAATGGATTCACATTTTTCTGCTTCATAACATTTGGTTAGGACATGACGTAGAGACAAAAAGGTACACAGAAAATTAGCATAAAAGTGGGTAACATTATGATGGAAAAATCTACAACACTGAGTATGAACTACAGGTGTGGTCACATTTATTGCCTATGCAATTTCGCTAATGTGACCTCAAGGGTGCATTTAATGTTACATCACCACTTAACTACATACTGTCATATTGTGAACCTTTAAACTCTTCATTTTGTCTCTGTATGTGTGCGTGAATCAGACAGAGTACTCACAATGTGCATGTGCACAAACAGAAAGCCATTACAGAGAACCATTTTGATAAAACGCAATCAAAAGAGTGACTGAAAAAAATGTTTGCAGCTGTTCCGAAACCATTGTACAGCTGTTGTTGAATATATGCAGTTTAAATTAATTGCGATACTAATTTAAAAGTTGCTGTGTGCTGAACTACTGCAGACATGCTAGCCAGAATTGATTAGCTTGATGAAAAGATTAACAGATCGTGTTAGTTATCTAACATCGTGTCAAGGTTAATGTAGCATTAGATTAAGGAGAAAAATATAGGTAGCCTCCCCTTTTCGATTGCGAAGGAACAGCTCTTGAATGACTATCGACACATTTGCAAAGGGTCATTGCGTTTAATGGAGTGAATAAAACACAACATGAGCATTACAGACTTCAACTTTTCTTCATTTCAACTCTTAGGATTCCTCAAACTACCTTCACTGTTTTCTAGAATTTAAAAAGAATCATAACCTTATCTCCATCAGGTCCCTTAGAACCAAGGAGATGGAACAGACACTATTAATAATGTTTAATTGTTTGATACTCAGCTGACTTTTATCCAGACCATAGAAGCACAGAGTCAGAGGTCAGATTTGCCATGACAGCATCATTATTGATGAAACCTCACATTAAAGGGCAGACTGACCTCAATGGCTGTAATACATTAATATAGGCACAACTTTGCACACTCCTCTCTCTCTTTCATCCTCGTCAAAGAGCGCAGCCGAGCAGGGGAAACATACTGCAAGAACATCTGGTGCAGAGATGCACTACAGAAGATACAGTCAGTAAACTGAACAGGAGTGCAGGTTTCAAAAGAGGAAGTACCTCCAGCACATCAATACCATATAAAAGGCAGAAGGCAACATTCGAATCCTTTCTACTAAGATGCCTTTATCTGGTTGGTTTTTAAAGGCAGCATAAATGTATCCTCGGCAGCCTATAGTAAAACAGCATCTGAGGCAGCACTTTTTAAAAAATTGAATTTATGCCCATTAAAAAAGGAAAAAATATATATTTAATTTATACAGAGAAAAATAACATTATATTCACCATGTACTTAAATATCTCTAAAGCTCACATTAATTAGTTTTAGATCTTTAGATATGATGTTATTGCATTGTGAAAGCTGGTCTGAAACTAGTTTTATTAAGAATCTGTAGTTAAGTCACCGATTGACTGTGGAGCGAGGCAGCTGCCATAGGTGTTAGACACATACATGCACACAACCAAACACTGCCGGATGGTCACCATGGTATTATGATAATTACATCACACTGCTTGATACACAAGCTCCCCGCCATCTGATCTACCTTCTGCAGCACGAAAAGACTAATAAAATGGGATTTACAGGTTTCTGAAAATAATATAAGAGGTGCTTTGCCTATGCCGAACTCACCACAATGCAAGAGTGTTGTGGGTGGTTGCCAAGTCATTATGAAGTTGTTGGTTAGAGGTAGCCTTAATGAGATTCATCCATAAATGAAAATGCTGTCAATTTACTCACCCTCATGTCATTACAAACCCGAAAAATGAATTATATAATTAAAAGGATTATATTTTGAAGAATGTTGGAAACTGAACAGTTTTTGGCTGTATTGGCAAAACAGACATTCTCAGAATATCTTTTACAAGTCATAAAGGTTTGTAACAACAGGAAGGTGAGTAAGTGGCAATTTTTCATTTATGGGTGAACTATACCTTTAAGTAAAACAGTAATAGTAATAAAACTTGCCTGGAATGCTGAAAATTGAACAAAGAAACAGTCTGAAATGGCACTAACATCATCTCATTAAAATGCTTGCCAAAAAAAGATTCTAAGAACACAAAAGATCAGTTTCCTGTCTCTTTGTCAAAATCCAGCTTTCGGGTTTATCTTTCAAGAAAAATCAAACTAGTCAAAATACTAAAAAAACAAAACAAAAAGAAACCCATTTTTTAAAAGCTCTTCGGTTCGTCTCATGCCTCCGAAGCACGTCTGAGATCTAAATACATCCGTAATCTTTTTTGTTTTGTAATCATCTCTGATCTGATTAAAGCCATCTTTAAGCTGCCAGGATACAAACATGCTGTGAACCGAATGCTCGCCGCAGCCCGGTATCCATAGATACAGACCCACAGCTCCTCATTCTAGCTCTGTTTACATGTGCATGACAAATTGCGACTCTCTGAAAAGCCTCCTTTAAAAATAATCACAAACTTCATTAAAGATTTGGAACATATTGCTGTATCTATCAAAAGTACAAGAACACAAAACTATTTTTCAGCAAAAATGTGCATGCAACTGCAGTGTTCTGTTATTTAAAGCCCTTCTTAATAAACTACATGTCTAATTTGCTAAATCAACACTGAAGCTAATTTTTTCCCAACATGCTGAATCATCGTGTCTTATTACAGGAGGTCAGGGGTCAGGAAGAGGGTGGCTAATTGCAGTGAGATATTCACACTCCAATTTTAACTGCTTTTAGTTTAACATACAGCTTTCAGATACACACACACTTAGCTAGACAAAGTACCCATTAAACATCATCTCTCATTAACAGCCTTAATGGGCGTGAATAAGAACGGACAAGCACATTTGTGAGTGTTTGAAAACTGCAAAAACGTGTGTGTGCATACGCAGCCCAGCAAAATGATGCTTCCATATTAATTTGTTAACATCTAGCAAATCAAAAGTGAGCATTTGAGAATTGCATTGGAATGAGTGGACGCGTATGACATTAATAGATGAGGATGAGAGATTCGGCGAGAGCATGTGCTCATTATGGGAGTAGATCTATAGGGCTTTTGGCTGCAGTGCAGCACTGGTGTGACAGAGCGAGTGGAGGGGAGGGGGGCCAGTGGGCTTCTGTCTCTAGCGCCCCCTGGTGTCCACTGAACACACCGCTCTGAGATCAGAGCGTGAAAGATGCATGAAGGCAGGAGATCGGCGCTTTTAAGAGATGGAGGGGAGAGAAAACCTTCACATCAGCACTTTGCAAACAGTGTAACAGACAGCCGGCACCCTGTGGATTCAGTAATGGCCTTAGTGACAGGGATATCCAAGGACAGACATGCATTAACTCGTACCTCGCCTTCAAGTCTCGGGGGCCTGATGCTGGACAGGTGGATGGTCTTATACTCCCCAGAGTTCAGCTTCACCACGATGGCATCTGCATTCACGACTTGCATCACCTGTACAGAAAATTCAGTAATGCAGAAAAAGACAGAAAGGTCAACTAGTTAGCAATGAATTCTGGAATAACATACTTGCAGCAGGTTTGACATTAGTGGTCGACCGATATATCGGCAAGGCCGATATATTTGGCATTTTTCAAATATCGGCATCAGCTGATAAGTTTTTCTGTTCAGCCGATGCGTTCGAGGCGGGACTTTTATTTTGACGGCGCTGAGAACGGCAGCACCTGTGCACACAGTGTTCACATTCTCCTTGTTCGCTGTTGTCGTTAACAGTTCTGTCTAATACGGACAGAAATCTGTCTAATAATCAGATAGAACTGTTAAACAAAGGAATTAAAATGTATACAAAAAGTATTATAGTGATTGCTTTTATATTATTAGTAACAGAAAGGCAAATATTATAATACTTTCTCGTTTGGCGTCAGCATTCAGAAAATACGCATTTATATCATTTAAACAAATCTTTGAATGACTACTGAACATCTCATTTCAAAAACTCTGCCAACTTAGTCGGTTCCAGCTGTGAGATCTTGTGAAGTGTGCATGTGAACTGCATGATGCTGTTCTCTGCGACGGTCGGTCCGTGCGAACTGAATACGGACAGGAGGAGAATTTAGCTTCGCTGGAGACACGCTATCAACAAACTTTAAACTCGTGATTTAAAATTATGCTGTGCTTCATGCTTTTGCCCACTGTCATATTCATGTAATTTCCACTGTGTGCAGTATGTAAAATAAGTGTTACCTTGGCTTTATTTGAAAAAAAATATGATTCCCAATGCACACAAACTTCCCAGATTACTGGTTACAGTGTTTACTTCCTTTTTAATTATATTTTTTATTAAATATTTATTTGTGAAAAATACTTTGTCATTTAAAGTATAAGTATGTTTATTTTACACATTTATTTTTTAATCCATTTTCAAATGATTTCAAATGTATTAAATATGAATTAAAACAAAATAAAATTATATCGGCTTTATATCGGCCACCCTGCTTTCCAAAATATCGGCATCGGCTGTCAAAAAAACAATATCGGTCGACCACTATTTGACATTATGATATTTGGTCATTAGACAATCAAGAACCAATGGCATTTGATACGATTGAAGTGTATGCTTTTAGCATAATGCTTTTAGTCCAAACATGACAGACATGGTGAACTGTTGTTTTAAAAGAGACCTATTATGCCCCTTTTTACAATATGTAATATAAGCCTCAGGTGTCCCAAGAATGTGTCTGAGAAGTTTCAGCTCAAAATACTACACAGATAATTTATTACTATTTTGAAAATGCCTATTTTGAGTGGAAGCAGAAACACGCTGTATTCATGCATGTCTCTTTAAATGCAAATGAGCTGCTGCTGCTCCCCACCGCCTTTTCCAGAATAGGGCTGTGCCTTTACAGATTTTACCTCAGATACTCGGCTTAAAAACATCTGTTTGGTTTTGATCATCATGTCTATCATGCATTTTAAACCATATTAGTTTAAACTTCTTATATAGTTTTCTGAGCGCACACATTTGAAGCACGCACACAGAGAGTGGATGTCACACAGCATGTGAGAACTAAACTAAGTTCTCTTTCATATCTTATTGCACTTAAACTGTCAAATACACAAGTTTGTTAAAAACAAACACGAGTTACAAAAAAAAAAAAAAAAAAAAGAGTTGTTTACGTCTGTGAAGGTAAACAGCTGGGAAAGAAATCACATGTTTATATTAGATCTGTGAGGGAACAGCGTAATATACAGTAAATAAATCAATAAATCCACTGCTCTCTTGTCTCCTCTGAGGCTGGGACTCTAAATAGTGTTTTGTGCTCGTCAGTGCAGCCAAATAAAGAACAGTTAGCATGCTTTGCTCGAACTTTCACCATGGCGTTAAAACTGGTAATGTTGTCGCTTGCAAAAACACAATGGTAACACCATGGGTGGGATCTTGCAGATTAAGGGGCGATAACATTATAATACGTTCCCCTTTCTATGTCATGTGGGGAGCGATATCTGAGCGGCTAATTTTTTCACAAGCTTGCAGAGAAAGGCTTACCAAAAAAAAGTCTACTGGGTTGTTCTTTTTCATGTTTTCTGGGTTGGTAGATGCACCGGGGGCCCGATTATAGCACTTAAACATGGAAAAAGTCAGATTTTCATGGTATGTCACCTTTAAGGACAAAAAAGAAGATTGTTCCACAAGAAAATAACGCCATGCACGTTTGGAACCACAAGAGGTTATCAATTAGACGATTTTCATTTTTTTGTCATTTGGTATCACCTCACATCATCTGTGTCCTGGCCAAAACACTGCATTTGAACAGACTGCAAAGTTTACAGCCAGTGGACAACACAACATACATTCTGAACCTGCATGAGAGGAAATAACTCTTCATGCCAGCAGGTGGCAGTAGTCAATATTCTAATTAAAATCAACGGTACAAAACACCGCAAAAACTGGGTTGACAGTAGGGATGGGCAATTTCTTATCGTTTGCGATATACCAGTAAAAATTCTCCACACGATAATAATTCGTCTTCCCGCGATAATAACGATAAAGTTTAGTTGTTAACATATTTCTGTGTGCGACGGTGTGGAGTGACGTAAAGGAAGGCGGACGTGTCCTTCTACAATCTGGAACAAGTTTGGATAGTGCTGTACAGTGCGACAAAAATCAGTCTGAGCCTTGAGTAAATGTACTACAGTAGCATGTGTGCGACACAGTTTTACATGTGTATGAGTCGTTTACAAACCTGTTGTCCGACAAAGATATTTTAATTTATTGACATGCTCTCCATATTAACTTCATAGCATAGTTGAGTGTTTAAAATAACTTATTTTTGCGATCAGATGTGGTTTCATATCACAGAATAAGGCAGAAATCATACTATTTTATAGCATTATATACAGTGATAAAGGCTATGTCGATTAGCATTACATTATAAATATACTTTATCCTTATAAAAAATACCCAAGATTGCTTGAAGAACACAGATACCATATATTTTGTGCAATCGCATGTTTATTGTCTTCAGGTTTCCCCAGTTAAAATTTCTCTATCTGCGTTTTATTCAGCTACACTGGATATCACTGGATACTTTTTACTGGAGCATTACTTCTACTATGCATATGTGGAGTTTCTGCGAAAGGACACCCTCCGGCTTCCAGTATGAATTAAACAGTCATTACATTACGTGTGTACTCCGTAATGCTCACAACACCCTATTTTGGGTAAAAATAGGAAAGATAATACTTTTCTCTAAAGAAACAGGATTCCCTAAATTACCGTCATTGATATCGTTATCGCAATAAATATCAGAAATTGTGATATATTTTTAAGCCCATATCGCTCATCCCTAGTTGCCAGACACTTAACGATGGCCCGACAATTAGCTTGTTGTGTCAGCCTTAACAGTAACCGTTTGAAAGTCAATACTGTTGCATTTTAAATTCAGCCCACATCTATAGGAATCAAAGCACTGTGTTTGTAACACTTACCAAATTGTAAGAATTCTTCACTCTCAAACTGCCTGCAGTGATCAATGTTCCCATTTTAACTCATTTTTATAAAGACTATGACGATTTCAGCCTGTTTTTTCATTGAATATTTGTCAGTCACCCCAATATTCATGAGTGATGTCGAGAGAGTGCACGAGTAGGTGTTAGAAAGAGAACGAGAGGTGGCGACCAAGTCACCGCTCTACCAGGAGGACGAGAGAGACTCAACTTGTTGCCAGAGAAACGTTACTGTACCCTGCCACGAGCCTTCTGCGGTACAAAAGCAAACAGCTGCAAACAAAACACTTCTCCCACACTCTGTTCTCAAAAGAACAACCCTCCACTCTCTGATTCTCTCATCCTACCACCATTACCTCACCATTTCACTCATATAAGACAATGAAAGCGAGCCGACGGGGAACACACAGGAACTGAGAGAAAGAGAGGGTGGGAACAGTCCATAATTTTGTTTAGACAAAAAGGAACAGGAAGAGGATTAAATTGAGCACTTAGAAGTGTGCCAAAGCATGTGTTTAGAAACAGATCTACTAAAAATAGACATTAAATAAATAGCCTCCATGATTTTGGGGTGTTGTGAGTGGTTGCAAAGGCTTTGCAATTCAGCCTTGAGCATCTCTATGTAGTTACTAGTTACAAGCCATACTGATAAAATCACCCAAATGCACAACTAACTAGCTAACTAACTAAATAAAGAAATGTTTTCAGGATTATAGAATCATAATATATATTTATTCTTGATGATAGCTTGCGTCTATGGGATCTATCTATGGTATTTTTCATTGTCTGATCACTTAGAAAAGTACAGAAAGAAAAGACAAGCAATGTGAAGAGACTCCTGAGGTTAGGACTCCTGGCATGTGCCACCTCTGACATGCAGGTTTTGTGACAGAAACATGTTACATTAGATCTGAGAGGACTCGCCAGACCATGCGTTACATGTGCGGGCCGCATCCGTTGCATACAGGGACCATCCGCACAAGACGACAAATGTCACAAAAGCTCTGACGTTTAGAACCATGTCTGAGTATATCATATCCATGTCATCTTATATGATCATCAACTCCAAGTTATTTAATAGAGGAGCCAGTGATGTGGAAGATGACTGGCTTTTGTGCGGGTCTGGGTAATGGATCTGATATAATCAGACCTGAACAGGCAGAGGAAAGCCTCAAAAATACATGCATTATCAGATCTGAGCAAATGAAGACAAAATTACAGTCTTCAGAGGGACATGAGCAGGAAAGAAGGATGATATGAGCAGAATTACATCATAGACTGACAAATCATCTGGCTTTGAACTAAATCTTCAGAGTGGAAATTAAACAGATCACTTGCAAAAACATTCGGCTGATTGCTCGGCAGTGATACAGCAGAGAACGTCATGGTTTATGTAGGTGTGGGTGCTTGTGCTCCTAAATGCACTCAGTCCCAAATCAACATGGTCACCTGAGCAAATCAGTGGTTTTATTTTTCTGTGTGGTAGT